ATCAGTGACACAAATGAGGTTTATTTTGTGCAGYTAGTCTGATTTGCTTACAAACATCTCTTCTTGTAKTCTAATCCATTTTAATCCATRYTTGCCGTGCACAATTAAATGCTTTMGTTTAAATTTGATTGACTATCCAGTAATTAGCATAAAGTAGACCCAGCAATGTCTTGTAATGTGACTAGCTGTGTAATGATTATTTTCATAGATTTTAGTGACTGGTGAAGTCCCAGTGGCAGCTTATAGTGACAAAAAGACTCCCGAACTCACTCTTCAGCCTTATYTGGTTCTGTCCGTCTTCAGCTCCATCCCAGGACAACGAATCCCCGACAGGTAATTTGCACTTCCCGCAGAAGAAGACCACGGGTCCGTCTTCTTCTTCTTCGACTCGGGACAGCTTTTCTTCAACCGTGGTGGAGTCGACGCTGGTTGCTTCAAACGTCTCGTTGATACATTTCGGACGATGCCTGGTTAACTTTTCTTTCATGGCCATTTCTGCTTTTTTTCTGAGGTTTCGTTCTAAACAAGTACAACTGCGTTGCTTTCAAACTTGAGCGGGTGGTAAATATCCGGTGGACGCAAGAGAACTACCTCTGAWTACTTCCGGTTTCGTCTGCCAGTCGATATTACATTTTTTCAGAGCCTAAGTAAAACGAGAAGCAAAAATGGTCTTATTTTAAAATTATTATGCTTTAAGATTGGGCAAATAAATTGGATTATTGGTTGTATTAAAGGTACCTCAAACAGCTATATAATAAATAATTAAGATAAACTAATCAAAAAATGACAGAGTGTCTGCATACTTTTGCAAAACGGTTCAGGACAAAAAATAATAAGGAAATATATTCACGTGAAATTATTGCAAAAAATTACAAAAAAATGTAAGGTAGAACACAAGATACAAACATTTGAAATAGTGCAAGGTGGTAGAAAGAGCATCTCCAACTTATTGCCAGAGAAAACGATAAGATTTAGCAAAATACCAGCTCAAGTGTGGGGTTTAGATTTYAAAATGTAGGCCTAACATACCAAAATGAACACTTTAAAATAATCAATCAAATACAAACTTGTTTAAAAAGACGAGAATGAAATCAGTCTGAAAAGAGATATGACCAAAATGAGATTATAAGAATAGAAACAACAAAAGAAAAGCAATGGTTTCAATAACTTGAGAGAAATACACTGCTGGAAAAGGCTTCCAGTATCATATTGTTGTCTAACATGTTATTTTAGTGTTTTGTTTTTTGTTACACCAGTTTAAAAATACACAAAAACAAGAAGCTAAAACATAATGATTACAACAAAATATTTCATTTTTTCTAGTTAATTCGTATTTTTCACTTTGTTAAATGTGTTAGCGCCGAAAACGTAAAATATTCTTCATATAGTATTGGAGTGAACTATCTCAACTGAGTCTGTATC